TTCACGTGCGCATACAAACTTCAACTCAAAAAAAAAACATGAACAAATAGTAAAAAGTGAATCTTTGATAAAATGCATCATCCGGAGAAAATGCATTGAGTTGGAATTGCCGTTTTATTGTTAAATTAAAACAATTTCCCAGGCCAGAAGAAAGGGAGATAGTTGAATTAAATCCAAGTTTTTTTTTACTAAACGGATAACGTTAAAAGGCATACACATGAAAATTTAGTTTTAGTATTTTATGCTGCAGTGGACGTGTGCCACAATCAATGTTTATAGGACTTTTATAAATTGCATCAATTTCGAATGAACATTTTCCAAATTTGTCCTTTCACGATTCATATCCATTGTCGTGTCCTTTCCATCTCTCTTTATTTCCTTCTTTATCCCTCATCCTCAACACAATTTAATTTGGATTGTTTTCGTTTCTTTTTTCATTCGTCATGAATGAAATTAAATTGGATGAAACCCAAAAGGCAATTTGCATCGGACGAACAGAAATAGAAAAACGGAAGTCAACAGTAATTTACTCTAAACGCTTTCTCTATTCACCTATTTAGGTACACATCCGTCTTGCATCGTTCGCATTGAATGTGCAATAATCCAAAGAAATCTTTCGTAAATACGAAATAAATGTGTCGCACATAGCATCTACACACAGACAAGTAAATGAAAAGGAAGTAAAATATAAAATAGAGATTCATTTAATGGACAAAAACTTTACATTTTCACAGTGGCTTCTTTTTGAGATGTGATTTTTGTTTTATACAATCACACATTTTTCATGTTCCATTTTGTTCTGCAGCAATCAGATTGAATGTATAATTTTTTGGTTTATTTGAATTTGAGACAAATCGAGCAATGAAAACGAATTTTAATTGGTAGCCTGCATCACTTTCCAAATATAATATTGTTATTTTGTTAATGGTTTGTGATAAATTGAACCAATTTCTTGCCACTTCATGGACTTGTGCCAATAATAGTGACATTGGGAAAGGTCCGCAGTTAAAAAAAATATTTCGGCTCGCTTGAACCATGTTCTGTATACCCAAAATACCATATGGCGCACGAGTCGAAAAATTCGATTATGTTGAGACGCACGTATCCTGTCGTATCGAAAATCTTCATGCGCTCCAACGCGCTTATGCATATTTTGTATATGAAACGTTTCATGTGTCAAATGAGTGCCCATTTTCATCGCACATTCATAAACAAAAAAGCCAGCCTACGGAATGTATCATTCACACTCACGACCCAATGCCCATTGAAATTCTGTTTTTATCAATGCTCAATTCGATTTTGATCACTTGACTGCTTTCGATACAACTCGAAAACTTCGTTTCGAGAATTTACCGGATATTTTCGTACCCATTTAATAATGTCGTCTACCATTTCAAATTGAATTCAATGTATACCATTTAAAATTATGTTGCGACTTAATTTTATTTCACCTATCAATTGGCGTCTGTTGCCACTATTATTGCTGTCATTCCGGCAAACGCATCCAGCAATCGATGCTACGTGATGTGATGTGAAATACAAATGGCGCCACTCGATTGAATTAACATTGATCAAGTGACGCACAACAATTGATGTTATACAAACCATGCAGATTGGTGTCATTTATTTCCATGTCTTGGTTCACAAGTGCAGCAAATTTTACAAGTGCATACCATTTACCAGAATGATTTTTTCGAACGTCAATCGATTTTAATTTATTTGAAATGAATTGAAAACAGTAATGTATGCACACAGACACACACAAATGCCATCATCAGATAAGTATGTGCATTGTTGCTTGTGCACGCTCTTAACAGCGACAAATATCATTTGCCAAGCGTTTATATTCCGTAATTTTATTGCAATAAATGTCAAATGAATCGCGGAGGTCATGTTTCATTTTTCTGATTGTTTATATTGTTCAATTTTATTCCATTTGCTGCACGTACGGAAAATTTGTCAGAAATTACAGCACATTTCCCGAGTCTCGAAGCGATTTATTTATGGGAAAATAATACTGTGATTTAACATATAAAATTGATTTTCCGTTGATGTACGATTTGTTTACGCATTTTTTGTTTGCTTTGTCGGAGGATAAAAGTGTGAGTTCGGTCGCTTGACGTTGCAATTAAAAATAAATATAATTGTCGTTGATCGATTTTGAAATACACTTAACAAAATCGTTCGATTGAAGAAAAGCATTAAAGTCAACGCGTATGTAATTGTGTACTTGTGTGTTGAGAGAGAAAAAGCTCGCGAAAAAAGTCAATATAACGAGAAAAGTTTTGTGTTTTTCATTTAACTTTTCAAAGGGAATTTTGTGCGACAAAATACAATAATGTTGACGATGATAATGACAATGAGAAAAAATCGAAATGGGAATAATGTTTTCCACATATTCTACGAGAAAAAAAGAGTTTTCATCATTGCTTTTGTCGCAGAACTTTTCACATACTGCATTTTCTTTACGTTATTTAATTTTCACAAATAAGATTTCGCATTATTTGCATGTTAAATGTGTGTTAATTGTTTATTTTCAAAAGTTCTTTTTTAATGAGTTCTGACGCCGGAGATTGAGACTAAACACAGAAGATGTGTCCTTAACAAGAGTCTTGTTACAAGACTGATTCCAATTCGTTTTCACCTGCCACCACCAACATTCTACATAAAAACCGTCTTATGTGAATCAAAGCGCGAATAAGACTTTATCACTTGAAAAAGCGTGACGGTGATGCGGTTTACAGTGCCATAAAGGTTCAATTTTCGAAACCATTAATTGAAAGAAATGAAAACACACAACAATATCTTTACGTTACAAATAAATCTCTTCATTCACATTTCAATCAAAGCTGATACAAATCGCATGTGACACTCAGCTTATTGAGCGGTAAAACGTGCTCCGTTAGGAAAAGGGAAGTGTAATAGGAAAAGTTTTTGGCCTACTTGCTTACGGAATGTGAAAGAGCATAAGCTTGATAGCATTTATCAGTGGGTAAAATTGCGTTCGATATTTCCATGAGATTGCGTTTCATTCGCTTCGTATGTTTAGTAGTGATTTGAATTGTTGTCGGTTCAATGCCATTGTGGTTGAAATATGTCGAAGGTAATGTTTATGGTATCGAAAGAGTCTTAATGACGATGCGAGCACATGTGACCGAGCTCAGTTCAATTAAGTCATTTCTGCTACCATCCAAAAATATTCCACAAAACATACACAAATACGATAGTTAAGTCAAATGAGTCAATAGACGCATCTGTGTTGAAGGTAAGGGTGTTACAGATGATTTTCTGAGGTTCGTTTCAATGATTTTTTTATTTTTATTTCAAAACACTACTGCCATCCACTTAGAAATTGTCATTTCAAAAGCATACAGTTAATACAATAAGTGCAGATTATGTAAAAGAGATTGTAATCACATCCTTTTAAGAACTGAAATTATCATTTCATTTTCGAAGCTTACGGCGATATGTGTATCTATTTCACTCAGCTTATTCAGTCCACTGTTTACTCAAGTAATCTTGGAAATAATTGTCCAAAAGATACCCCAGATACCACGAAATGTCCAAACATTAATTGATACTGTCATTTTAATCTATGCCGAGCTTAAAGTACATTTCAAGATGAACATTTAACATGCCTTTGGGGTATTAATGGCACCAATGAATTCTTTTTCTTCCATCTCGATTTATTCCCTTGGAAGGGCAAGAGCACTTTTTTCTCACTAAACCATTCAGTACAGCAAGAGAAGAAAAATGTGGTCCAAGTTTAATACTTATTAAAAACTTCTCAATTTTATTTGTCTATGGAAATGCAATTAAAAGTTTTATTCTTCAACTCAAACAAGTTGACAATGATTTATGCCAAAAACTTGTACCTATTCTCCATGAAATATTATTGACTTAATGTAATTAAAAATTGAAACCAAATATCAATTATTATAAATGATATTAAAAAAAATTAAATATTTAAAGGTGTATCATATTTTGCGCGCCTATTTTCACTGTCCAAACAACGGTCAATGCTTTGTTATCGATCGTTATGAAATCGGAGAACCTTTAACATAATAGATATGAACACCGATTGAAAAATGTACAATTTCTGATTAAGTTCGTGAATTGTATGAAATGTGATCTAATTAGAGTCCATTAAATATCCAGTAAGTATTACACATTCGCTATCCATTAAATACACACATGTACATTAATAATGATATAATATTGATGAAGTGGCTTTAACGTTCGACCAAAGAGCTCTCTCAATTTTGGCATACATATTTTATTAATACCACATTTTACTGAAGATCAGTATCCAATAACTTTATTTTAATAACACCGTAAATGAATGAATATGTGTAATAGATAGACCGTTATGTGGGCAGTTATGCGTATTTAAACACATTGCTTTTAATGGTGTGGCATTTGATATGGTTTTCGGTGCCTTTGTTGGTGATCAATAAGCGCACTTAAGCGGTTTTCGTGGTAAACCTTTTCAGTTTTTTATTTAATGATTAAATATATTTTCCATATACGAATATCCACACAAAAACATATTTTTTCATCATTGTCGATTGCGCCACCAAACGACACAGTCAAAGTTTAATAACGAATTCTTGCCAACATGTTATTGTCCTTTTGAAGTGCTCTCGAGAACAGCTACCGTACTACGCTAGCTTTTTCCATTTGAATTTCAGTGACCGGTTCGCGCATATTTCTATGTTTGCCTAAATACGCTAGGTAGCATAGATATGCCAAGCATAGCCGCAAACGCAACCGACGCATCGCCGTTCACTCTATATGAACAATGCACATGTTCGTTTATGCAGACGACCGTGCGCATACAATATAGCTCGAATCGAATGGCGACGGGTGCGTTACGGCTTGCGTCTCCGCTATGCTTAGCATAGCTATCAGGCATAGAAATATGCGCGAACCGGTCACTGTTGAATTTGCGTTATAATGACAATCAAAAGCGGTCTATTTTTATTGAATTGAGATATTACCTCATGACGCACTGGCACGTTCTCCCTTCAGTTCTTCATCTATAATGAAAAAAATGAGAAATTCGATTTTAATTAGTTTCTGTTACATACAAGGAAAAAATCCACTTCGAATTGAAAATAAAAATTTGCATACAAAGATGGGGCTTCAATTTATTTTGAATATAAAGAAGAGAGAACAAAAAACAATTCTCTCTCCCCAAATTTGCAATCAAGGAAAAGAGTAAATATAAAGGGGCGAATTCGTGGAACGAACGAAAAGTTTTTAATTACAATTTCGAGGAAAAATAACGAAAATTCATTCGAGAAACGAACTTGAAATTACTTTGGAAAAAAAAATTCAATCATAATTTTGCGATTGAGTGTTCAATCCCAATAACAAATCGCTTAAAAATTAGATTATGGACGATAGTTTTCAGTTTTGTGTGGTTTTAGTTGAGTAGAAAATAGATGCTGCTAACTCTATTTTCAATTTTGAATTTCAATTCTCTGTGGGTTTTTTAGTCCATTTTTTTGCTAGTATTTTTTCTATCAGCAATGATATGCTATCAATCATCAAATAGCACGAAGTCATGTATTACGTAAAAACCACTAAAAAAATATCGCGCGTGTGAAACACAATTTCTCATCGAAATATCCACAAAACACACATTTGACAATTCCGTTTTTCCTTCAAACATAAAGCTTAAAAGAGTACAAATAGGACCACAGTGTTGATTTCGTTGACAGTTTCTTCCTCTCTTTTCGTTGGCTTCAAAGTGATTCGCTGAGCGCACAATCGGATAGGAAAAAATGAAAACTTTGAAAATACGTGAACTAGAGTCAAGATCTCAACAAAGGCCATTTTTCTTGCGTTTCATTCAAAAAAGAAAATGTTTACTTTGATGTGTATTTACAAAAAAAAAATTTTTGTATAAATAATTGAAAATAAAAACATGTTCAATTTTGCATGAGACGCGTATCAATGTAGCAGATAAAATGAAGCTAAAAATCATTGATTGTCAAAATTCCGAACAAGCATGCCTTCGTAATCACATCATAGAATGTTTCTTACAAGCTAATTAATTATTGCGATTATTCAAATATCTAATAATAACGATGTGATCTTGTTGTTTGGTATCTGAACATCTTCATGTATACAATATTATGCGCGTATCACAATGATTGAGCATAAACGAAGCGCTTGCATATCGAGTGGGCGTTGAATTATTCTTGTCATTTTCCATCACATTAAATATAAATTGATGTGAAATAATCATCGAAATCATTTCAGTTTGTTCGTTCGGCATGATAGTCCTTGTTTGCCGCCAATTCAATGAAAAGCTAAACCAACATTGGTCATGCCATGCATAAACAGAACCGAAATCTTATTGATATAAAAAGCGGAAAAATGACGGCAACCAGAGATTGATTTATCTCGTTTCATTATTTCCCAGATTTTTGACAGTAGAAAAAAAATAAACGAATTTATCCATGCATCTCGATGGCTGATTTATTAGATAACCAGGTGCTTTCGCTCTCTTCGCATTTTTTTTGTGTGCTTAGCTTGAAGGAAAAAATAAACATGCACAATGGTAAATAAACGCCTAACGAAAAATGATTGATGAAATCGTTCACAATGACCGATGATATATTAGCAAGTGGAAATGACAACAAACCCACATACATGCATGTGAAATAACATAACACGGTCAATTTGTAAGCTCAATATTATGAAACGAGCAGAATCTTTCTCATTCATAGTGAAAATGTGCGTAACGTTTACATTTCGTTTTGTGTTTGGCAGAGGCAATGGGGATAATGTCCATCCACGGTTCGTGTCTGTGTCAGCAAATGAAATCGAACGGAGAGAATGAAAGGGAGAATTTGCCATAAAAAGACATAAAGTGCAAAATGAATGGAGAAACTTTTTTTTCTCTTGGCAAATCTTATTTGATAGCAACAGCGGAGGTCGCTCATTCTCATTTATTCTATATATATTCTTAAAACCATAGTACAATCCCTCGATTCAATTTTGGGTTGAATAGCAGCACAATGAATTCAATCTGAATGTATCCAAGTTTCTCTTTGCCATTTCAGCAATTGAATACACCAACGATTATTAGCCACTGCCAAGCGAGTATGGTGTATTCCATATATTTAAATCGAACTTTCGCATTAAACATGAAAAAGAAGAGAAAGTATCAGTATAGTACAACAATAAGAAGTAAAATAAAGCAACTGCAAATGAAACTATAATAAATTCAAGCGCGATCTAATCATTGAACAAATCACTTTCTTCCGATTGGGTTCGGAGTTAAATCATCACTTTCCTTTCGCTTAACAAAACCAGACACTGCACGTATACACAGTAGTGCATAAGCTGCTTTTGAATGAGCAAAAACTTTTCTAATTTAGTAAAAATAGGCCGCCAACAAAAAATGCAAAAATGCAAAACTTTTCTAGACTTAAGCAAACTGAACACAATGAGAAAAAAAATCAATCATGTTCCTAATCAATTTTTATGGTTTGATTTGATTTTATATTCGTCATTTGTTATGCGCGCCTGTGTTATATCCAAATAACATTTCCGGCCCATAAACGCCAAGATATATATAGGCGAATGCGGTTGATTTGCTACATCGTCTTCTGGCTATGTATGTTTTGCATGAGTTTATTTTTGTTTGTGTAGTAAATGTAAACCAAAACAATGCGAAGTTTGACTATAGAAGGGGAAATCAAGTTCAGTGACGTTGTCAGATTGGCTATCGTGTTTGTGCCCATTTATTTGAAACTTTCAAGCAAAAAAAAAGTTTTTCAATTTAAAAACTTTACACAAAGTCAAAGCGATACTTTTTAGTTCATGTGAGGTCCCACGCTTAAAAAGTCGAAAATGTTCACCGAATTTTAAGAGCGACAACGAAGATGATGATGAAGATGATGAATGCGTTTCCTTATAATTTTTAAATGTCTACAAAGTACAAGCAGACTATGTGCCTTTGAAAACGAGCTGATTCACCGTCTTTTCTGCTATACACATCACACTGGATGGCGACAACGCAGACAATTTTCGATCAAAAAGTTAGTGCGTCAGTGCAAAAGCATTTTGATACATTCCAAATATTTATTGTGTATGAATCGGAGCCAAAATGAGGTCATATCTTGTCCTTTATTGGGAAACAACATTTATGGCAAAATATATCGTATCTTATTATGTACATTCACAAAACATATTTGCAACTGGAGTATTTTATCCTCGATAAATATGCGAGAGACAATAAAATGGAAATATCCGTTTATAAACATCTTGAAAATATCTTGATAATTCAATCAAGTGGCAAACAAATGAAGTTTTATTTTATGTACGCTTTTCAGTTCGGTTCACTTCTCCTGCTTTTATATCACGTTCATCATGAATTTCTTGTTAAAACGATATTTAAAGTAATCCACTTCGTTTATTATATTCTTCTCTAAATCATTGGAATAAAGGCGTGCAAATCTCAAGTCTCATCACTCTTGATCCAAATCGATTGCAAATATATCCATGGATACCTTCATACATGGCTTGATTCAAGAAGCCTCCACTTTATTTGTCTTTGCAATTTTCCGTTCACATTTCTATTATATTCATCAGAGCAGAAAACTATGAAGTGAGACAGGTTTATTTCTTGAACATTGTGTGTAACACATATGCATAACAATGTTGCAGTCTTATTTATGTTGAGTCTTATTTATATATACAGAAAATTGAATTATGATATTTTTTTATTTTCACAACATATCTACATTCCAAGAAATACTTTACTTCTTTTCTTTAGTATCACATTTTTTCATCGCAATGCTGACGCTAGGCAAAATAGTACAATAAAAATAGTACTTTGTTTTTAGCAAACGGAATCTGGCGAGTTAAATGTTTCCTTTTCAGCACATAAGCTAGCATTTATTATTATTATCATGCGATTTTTGAATAATTCATGATATTTGGTATTGCTTAGAGATAGATGGAGAGAGAGGAGAGAAATTAGGCTTACATCATCTATTTTCGGATGTATATGAAAAACTCTTTCGGAAATTGTCGGATCGTTTAGATGCTCATTCAACTTGAACAAATCGAAAAATACTGCATGCAAAAAAAATTCAAACTCGAGGCTGATTTTATTTTCTTCTATAAAAAATACTTTGGGTATTCGAAGGGACAAACTTTAATGTACTTTTCAAGTTTGACATGCCCCACATCTCGAAAAGTGTTCTAAGAATGTGCGGTTTTCTTTTCAACCTTACATTCGTGAATGTGTGTGTACGAGGGTTGCTCCATAATTTTTTTTAAAAACATATATAACACAGTTGTTTTTTGTCGAAAATGGTTTTATTGTTTTTCAAAATATTCCCCGAGATGATCGATACACTTTTGCATTCGATGAAACCATTTGTCATAGCATTCGTGCCACTCCGAAACTGATATCTCCAAAACGTGTGTTTTGAACGCTTCAACTGCTTCTTCTGGTGTCGAAAATCGTTGACCACGTAGTTTTTTCTTCACGCTTGGGAACAAAAAAAAGTCATTGGGTGCCAGGTCAGGACTGTACGGTGGATGACCCATCAGTTCGATGTTTTGACCGGTCAAAAATCGAGTAGTTTGAAAAGATGTGTGAGAGCTCGCATTATCGTGATGAAGAATTATTTTGCGACGGTGGTTGTTTTTTCTTATTTCACCAAACACTTCGGGCAAACAAATGGTGGTATACCAATCAGAATTGACGGTCTTACGATCCTCTAGTGGAACGGTTGCCACATGACCACTTCTCCCGAAAAAACAGGCGACCATTCGCTTCGAAGTGCTTCTTGCTCGAACAACTTTCGTTGGGTTATCTTCATTTTGGAAGACCCATACAGTCGACTGCTGTTTCGTTTCGGGCTCATAGGCATATATCCACGATTCGTCACCAGTGACGATTTTATTAACGTCTTTTGAAGCACCACGATTGAATTTCTTGAGCATTTCTTTACACCAACTCACACGAGCCATTTTTTGTTCATCGGTCAATTTATGTGGGATCCAACGA